AATATATATCTAATGTAACAGTATTTCAATAAATAGTTAATTAAAAAAATAAAATAAATAAATAAATATAGTAAGAGTTTTTTTTGTTTTGTTAAATGATTTTATAGATAATATATATACATATAAATAATATATATTATACAGTAAATTAAATAATGTCATAAAAATATAAAGTGCAGTTTATTTTTCTTAATAGAAAATAAATATAAATTCAAAACAACTATTTGCTGCTATATTTAATTACAAAAATGTGAACTAAATTATTAGACATTACAATAATTATGTTATTATAAAAAAAATCACACATAAAACAATTTAATGAGTCATTAATATATAATATTTCACAAAAAATATAAAATTACATCTAAATAGTGTGAATTAATTTATTTAGTGAAATATATATACTGTATATTAGTTTTTAAAAAAATTATTAAAAGGTAATAACAAATACATGTATAATTTATTCAACAAAAAAAACAATATAAACTAATTAGAAAAAAATTATTTATTATTATTAACTGATTGACACGAAATTTTTTTTAAAAAATTAAATATCATATTAAATATTTTTAGCACACCATTGTTGTACAATCGACTGTACCGAGGATGGCAACTATGAGCACCCGGATGACAAACACTCCTATATTATGTGCTACAATAACAGGGCAGTCCTACAGCGTTGTCATCTATCCAGGGATAACGTATCGCTGACAGTGTTCAACACTGATCGTCGCCAATGTATCGAACCGTTCAAATGTCCGCAAAACCTGACCAATATTTTGAATGCTGCTACGGACGGGCCACTCGGCGCCAGTGTCCATCGGGTGAGCTGTTTGACGGTAAACAATGTGAACCCGGATACAAGTGTCCGCATCCGATGGGACGCTATCCACATCCCGTCTATAAGAACCAGTACTACGAATGCAAGTACTGGGAATCCAAATTACATACCTGTTCAGAGGGTACGGTATTCGATGGTAAGTATGCCTGCATTGTTGGCACACATCAGCGAACAGGCAGCTCATCGGGACGTTCAGCCAGCTATACTGCTAGCCAACGACGCCACTATACTACTAGCCAACGACGCCACTATACTACTAGCCAACGACGCCACTATACTACTAACCAACGGCGCCACAATACAGTGGTCAGGACTGTACGAACTGAGCGGGTGCCACAATCACCAGCAGCTGCATCGGCATCATCATCGCATACTGAATTTCAATGTCCGCGATCGTGGGGCAACTATCCGTGTCCGTATGACTCGACCCAGTACTACCAGTGCCAGTATAATCGACCGAATTTGCGTAGTTGTCCGCGACGACAAGTATTCGACGGCTCCCGATGTTCGGATACGTTTGTTTGTCCGCGACTGGACGGCTGGTTTAGGCATCCGACCCGAGAGAACCAATACTACCAGTGCGTCAATGGGCAGCCGTGTCGGCATGATTGTCCACCGGGAGAAGTTTTTGATGGTCATCGCGGTTGTCGCCGACCTTACATACCACCGACAATCGAGTTTCGGTGTCCAAAAAGCGAGGGACTGTTTCCGAGTACGACCAGTAATACCCAATTCTATCAGTGTATCAATATGGTTGCAACACTGCATACCTGTCCTCATAATACTTATTTCAATGGCCACTCGTGTGTCTGCTATCCAAGCAAAGAAAGGCCATACTGTGGGGAAAATCATCCACCCAGGACACCGCCGCCGGATGTGCCGACCAAAGGTCGCGGTTGGGATCGACGGGTATTTGAACAAAACGGTATGCGAATTGTTGACCAATGGGATTCAGTTAGTGAACAATGGCGCCGAACATACGAACCGTTGACCGGCGGTAGTAGTAGTAGTAGTAGTAGTAGTGGATTCAGCTATACTAACGGTGGATTGGCTGCTTTGCCGGGATTGTCGCATTCTAGTGGTTTAGCCGGCCCTCCAGGATATGCCCGACCCATAATGACAGTGCCGGCACAGCGCGAAAAAGGAGAGTCCGGTCTCGACATCAACGACGTCAACACTGGCGATAATAGTCGTTCGTCATCGTCGGCCGAGTCTGAAGAGGACAGTCGTGTCGTCGGTGGTGATGATGATGATGATGATGACGATGAAGACGATGTCGACAAAAAAGACGATGACTATAATGATGACGAGGACAGTCGTGATGGTGGTAGCGATGGCGATGGCAATGATATAAATCCAGTATAAATTTATGGATAATATAAAATTTGTTTTTAAAAAAAACAATTTAATTATAATTGATTGCTAATTAATATTCAATATTATTATTAATTATTAGATTTTATTATTAATATTATATAGAATTAGTTTAAAGTACAAGAATATACTGATAGATATATATATATATAAATAATCTGTTATTTTTAATGACAAAAAATTAAAATTTACTAAAATTGACTACTTTTTTAAAAAAATTAATATAATAAATAACTATAAATTATAATTTAAAATTATTATACTGTATTATTAGTTTGTTTGTTTGAATGAATTTAATAATTTTTTAGATTGTAATTGTCTATTATTATTATAATTGACAAAAATTGATTTATTTAAAGTTTTTAATCTTATATTTAGATAAAACATAATAAATAAAAATAGATGACATTCCAGGTATAGATAGCATAAGTGTGTTTTATAAATATGATAAAAATTACTATATTATGCAAACCATATATTAGAAATTTTATAAAACCCACATTATATATCATAAATAATAATATAGTTGTAAATACTAATGACATATATTGATTAATTAATTGATTTGTTTCAAACAAAAACTTTGATATATTTATAAACTTTATCAGTGTTTGAGTGTCAATGAGTCCAACACTACTGGGTGTCCGCAAACCAGACAGCATATCAAATACTGATAAAAATTTTGGCGAAATACCCGCGAAATAGTTATAGTAATAAATACTATAAATGATTAAACATAACACATATAATAGTATTGTTATAATTCTAATGATTTCAACATTTTTACCAAAATAATAGTCACTATCGCATAGAAATATATGCCATTCGCTAGAAATGTCTAGTTTTCTAGCAATCAATAGCCATATATTTCTTATAATAAAATATAATAATATCATTGGATTCAGGAGTGGATGTGAAGTCCAGTGTCGTCGTCGTCCCGGAGTTGGTATTAGCGATGGTTTCAAACACAAACCAATTGTATATAACTGACTGCACGCGCAAACAACACGTAGTTTTGGTGGCAATACTTGATTTAAATTTATAAATAATTTACTCATATTTTTTTAATTATTATTATATTTGTTGTTTATATAATAATAGTTTAAAATATTATAGACTAATATACAATATATAATAATTTAAACTATTTATTATAAAATTCTACTAAAGTATATTATTTTAATTTATTTTAAATAAACTATTTCAGTAATAAACTATTCAACAACAAAAAAATATTTAATTATGAAATTTAACATTTACTTATAATAATAATAATAAATTATTTTTCTACATAAACAATAATAATTTCATATTATTAATATTATTTTATGCTTATTTTAATGTTTATTTTATTATATTATTTGACGTAAATAACAAAAATAATTGTTTTTTTTATTCTTAATTATCTTGATTTTATTGACCAATATTTATATTATATCAAGTTTTTTATAATATAGAAATCATTAGTTTATTAATTGTATAAAAATGTAATATTTATAACGTTAGTAAAAAAGTTATTTATTGCAATCAATGTAATTATTAACATAAATTTTATATCTATCTATAAATATAATATAATTAAAATATATATTTTAAATAATTAACAAAATAAAAATTACATAAATACAGTATATTATATAAGTAAAATTATAGAAAAAAACTAAAAATATGTTAAAAATATTATATTATATTTATAATAGGTTAGGTTCCTAATTATAAAACAAATAAAAAAATATTTAAAATATTTTATATTAATTAATTGTTTTATACTAAACATATTAAATATTTAAGTTGTAATGCATACTTACAGTGCATGCAAACAGTAAATGTTATTTTTATTGTTTTAAAAAATTAAATTATATTTCTCACGAGTTATTATTATTATTTTAAATTAGTATTAAATTCAAATTGATTATTACAATCAAACTGTTTGTCACACAAAAAAAAGTAATCAATCAATTCATATAACCAGAGAAACACATCCAACGATAATGTCATCGGAAATGGATAACAACGACAACGACAACGACAACACCGCTAATGTTGTATACAAGACACGAGTGGTGTTCAGAGTGATGGACATGAAAAACATATTGTCTGTTAATAATGGTTTTACTATTCATAGCAAAAAACTAAACATTGGATCAGATGAATGGTTTTGTAGTATTAGTTTTACTAATAAAATGGTAAAACTAAATCTTCAAGTGATTCCAAGTTTTGAACATCAATTGTCATTTGAAGCTGAATACGTAATGTATATCATTGACGACAATAACCAATTGTTTTTCAAAAAACAAATTAATTATGACTTTGATTGGCGCTATCATTACAATAAGTCTGATATTTGTTCAGTAAAAGAGTTGTCGGATAATAAGGACCGACTATTGGCTAATAATATCCTAACCGTTGGTTTCGATATAACAGTTTACAGGGAAATCAATTGCCGAGAAAATTCTGTCCCAAAACCCAATCGTTTCGGAAGAAAATCGGAAGACATTACCAAAGATTGTCGATTAGTTGTCGGCAAAGAAGATCAGAAAGAGTTTTTCGTCTCAAAACTGTTTCTCAGTTCAAAGTCGGATGTCTTCGATAGGATGTTTACCACAGATTTTATTGAAAAGAAAAACAACGAAGTGATCATCGATGACATTGATAGCGATGTCTTCGAGCAGTTCCTACAGTATCTCTACACTGGAAACTGTGATAAATTGTATGAAATGTTGGATGAATTGCTATACGTTGCCGACAAATATATGGTATCTTCGCTGAAGACTATTGTGGGACATATCGGGTTGGGATAAGTTTGAATCGGAAATACCCGATGATTTGACCGTAAATCTGAAACCGTTGGGTGTATTCAACTCCAGTGCCTATGCCCACCAAAACGGTCGGCCTGTTGTATGTATGTGGGGACTGGGATTTACTAATCGACCGAAAGATACGGCCGGTCTGATCAGGCTTATCGATGCACTCAAACTTGAGGGCTATTATGTGATTGGTGGTGTGCCACGTAATTAGCGCGATATTAGCAACTTTCGGGAGGTATACTTACGGTTGAACATGCTACAACCATGGGCAGTCGGATCAATGTCAAGTGTCAAAGGGGCTCAGTTATATCAGCCGGTGCTCAAGGCTGACCACGAGTTTCTCGTACAACATAACATTGGTATGTTTATTATATAATAATAATAATAATATTGATATTATTTATATATTTAGTTGTTTGTTAAGTTATATTAATGTAAATGTATTATTATTATATTGTATTATATTTACAGTAAATTAACTTAATTTATGTTATCTATATAGTAAAATACATTAATGTGTATTACATCCAATATAATAATACATTTATAGTAATATAACTTAAAAAACATAAAAAACATTTAATAAAACTGTTATTGATAGTGTTAATATAGAGACAACTTAGATACTATTTCTAGTATAGATAATAATATTGTAATAATAATCATCATATTTCAGTATATATATTGTATAATTAAGGCTTAATTTGTATGTATAAATTATCAAGTACAGTTTTCAAATAATTTCATGTATTGTAATGCATTATATTTCAAAGTTAGACTAACTGTTATAATATATACTAATATACTATACTATAAATTTTATAATCAGTAGTAATAATTTTTAGTACATTTATATTATACATTGAATATTGGTCTGATTTATTATAGATTATCAGCCGGTACTGTATCCCGGTTTTGCCTGGAGCAATTGGCACAACACAACCCGTAACGCCCAGCCCCGATTGCATGGTGATTTTATGTGGCAACAGTTTGTCAATCTTAGACAACTGGCCATACCCAGTGCCTATGTAGCCATGTTTGACGAGTACGATGAGGGTACGGCCATTGCCAAAGCGGCCGAAACCATAGAGGACATACCCAGTGACCAGTACTTTCTGACACTGGATGCCGACGGTGTCCGAGTGTCTGACGATTTTTATCTACGACTTGTCGGTGATGGCAATCGTATGATCAGCGGACAGATACCCTTCGTTGTTTTTCTTTTCAATAAAATCGGTGGTAAATATCTTCTCGAAAATCTCTGATTGTGAACTGAGAAGTAATTTTGAAGCAAAAAACTCTGACTTCTGATCTTCTTTGCCGACAATCAGTCGACAATCGGTCAACTCTTTGACAACAAACAATTGTCTGAAACGATATCGATTTGTGTCAAACATTTCGTGGACATTGTATTTCTTGTGAATCACTGTTATATCAAAACCAACGGTAAGTACGTTGCCATCAAATAGCCGGTTCCTATTGTCGTACAACTGTTGTATTGTGACAACTAATGGTATACTATTTCGGAAATTCATGTGAAATAGATATCTATTTTCTTTTGTCGCAAACAATTGATTGTTGTTGTCAATGATTGATACCGTAATTTGTACTTCATTTGGTAATAATAAAGTTTTATTAATTGTTGACAATTCTAGATATGACAGCATCTCTTCGTTATTGATACGAATATGACAGAACCAGTTATCTGATCCAATGGTAAACATTTTGCTGTCAATAGACAAGCATTTCCTGTTTGATTCATCGGTGTCCAAATGTTCTGTAATGTCCATCACTTTGAACACCACTCGTGTCTTGTATACAATTTTAGCGGTGTTTGAGTTGTCGTTGTTATCCATTGCCGATGACATTATCGATGGATGTGTTTCTCTGGTTATATGATTTGATTGATTTTTTTTGTGTGACAAACAGTTTGATTGTAATAATCAGTTTGAATTGAATACTAATTTAAAATAATAATAATAATAACTCGTGAGAAATATAATAATACAACAGTTTTACAACAACTAATTTATCAGTCAATGTATAATTGTATTTAATTAATTATTAAACTAATTATTATAACTTGTTTTTTTTGTTAATTAAAAAAACACTAAATTATGAGTTAATTTAGTAAACAATTAATTTTTTTAAATAAATAAAATATGTAGCAATTAAATAGTTTTGAAATATTAATTATTAATATATAAAACAACCTTTTTTTGGACAAAATTTTAATATTTAATTTTTTAAATCAAATAACTATATGACTATAAAAACATAAGTATAAGATTTAAAAATCAATTGATTTCCTAATTGAGTGAAAATTTGTGATATATTTTCTGAATCAATGGTATAGTGTTTTGAGAATTTCTTGATTAAACACTGAAATCATGTTATCATTGATCCAATTGTTTGACTTTTTTTTATTGATTGTCAATCTTAGGCAACTGGCCATACCCAGTGCCTATCTAGCCATGTTTGACGAGTACGATGAGGGTACGGCCATTGCCAAAGCGGCCGAAACCATAGAGGACATACCCAGTGACCAGTACTTTCTGACACTGGATGCCGACGGTGTCCGAGTATCTGCTGATTTCTATCTACGACTTGTCGGTGATAGCAATCGTATGATCAGCGGACAGATACCCTTACAGACAACACATCCTACACCTCATATTAAATCATAAATAAAATGTTTTGTTTGTTTTTATTTTATGGGTAAAAATAAAAGTTTATTATTTAATTAATTTTCATAATGTAATTAAATACAAAAGTGAAATACAAATTTAAATAGAAATGTTTAATGTAAATCATTGAATGTTAATTTTGACAGTAATACTGAAATACAATAATATAATAGATAACTAAAAAATATTTTTGTTAAAATACATACAAATTTTCTAATAATTGAATAGTAAAAAACAAATAAAATACTTGTTTTTTTTATATAATACTAAATGAAAATATCGATACAAAGAAAATCTAACTTAATTATTATAACTGTATGTATAATAAAGTAAATGTGATTGTCTTGGACTCAATTGATTTCCTAAATAATGTAAAATTAGCCACAAATCATCTGAATCAATGGTATAGTGTTTGAGAATTTCTTGATTAACCACTGAAGGGATGTTCTCTCCGATCCATTTGTTGGCCATAATCATGAGTTCACTATCGGCACCAAAGTCTTTCAATTGTCGTATTGTTTGGAAAGCATTTTTACCATTGATTTTCAAAAAATCAAATTCAAACAAATAGTCTTCAGCGAAGATACCATATATTTGTCGGCAACGTATAGCAATTCATCCAACATTTCATACAATTTATCACAGTTTCCAGTGTAGAGATACTGTAGGAACTGCTCGAAGACATCGCTATCAATGTCATCGATGATCACTTCGTTGTTTTTCTTTTCAATAAAATCTGTGGTAAACATCCTATCGAAGACATCCGACTTTGAACTGAGAAACAGTTTTGAGACGAAAAACTCTTTCTGATCTTCTTTGCCGACAACTAATCGACAATCTTTGGTAATGTCTTCCGATTTTCTTCCGAAACGATTGGGTTTTGGGACAGAATTTTCTCGGCAATTGATTTCCCTGTAAACTGTTATATCGAAACCAACGGTTAGGATATTATTAGCCAATAGTCGGTCCTTATTATCCGACAACTCTTTTACTGAACAAATATCAGACTTATTGTAATGATAGCGCCAATCAAAGTCATAATTAATTTGTTTTTTGAAAAACAATTGGTTATTGTCGTCAATGATATACATTACGTATTCAGCTTCAAATGACAATTGATGTTCAAAACTTGGAATCACTTGAAGATTTAGTTTTACCATTTTATTAGTAAAACTAATACTACAAAACCATTCATCTGATCCAATGTTTAGTTTTTTGCTATGAATAGTAAAACCATTATTAACAGACAATATGTTTTTCATGTCCATCACTCTGAACACCACTCGTGTCTTGTATACAACATTAGCGGTGTTGTCGTTGTCGTTGTCGTTGTTATCCATTTCCGATGACATTATCGTTGGATGTGTTTCTCTGGTTATATGAATTGATTGATTACTTTTTTTTGTGTGACAAACAGTTTGATTGTAATAATCAATTTGAATTTAATACTAATTTAAAATAATAATAATAACTCGTGAGAAATATAATTTAATTTTTTAAAACAATAAAAATAACATTTACTGTTTGCATGCACTGTAAGTATGCATTACAACTTAAATATTTAATATGTTTAGTATAAAACAATTAATTAATATAAAATATTTATTTTTTAATAAAATAAATTTTAAATATTTTTTTATTTGTTATCATAATTTTATATAAATATAAATATAATATAATATTTCTAGCATATTTTTAGTTTTTTTTCTATAATTTTACTTATATAATATACTGTATATATTTATGTAATTTTTATTTTGTTAATTATTTTTAAAAAAATATTTTAATTATATTATATTTATAGATAGATATAAAATTTATGTTAATAATTACATTGATTGCAATAAATAACTATATTTATAACGTTATAAATATTACATTTTTATACAATTAATAAACTAATGATTTCTATATTATAAAAAACTTGATATAATATAAATATTGGTCAATAAAATCAAGATAATTAAGAATTAAAAAAAACAATTATTTTTGTTATTTACGTCAAATAATATAATAAAATAAACATTAAAAATAAACATTAAAAATAAGCATAAAATAATATTAATAATATGAAATTATTATTGTTTATGTAGAAAAATAATTTATTATTATTATTATAAGTAAATGTTAAATTTCATAATTAAATATTTTTTTGTTGTTGAATAGTTTATTACTGAAATAGTTTATTTAAAATAAATTAAAATAATATACTTTAGTAGAATTTTATAATAAATAGTTTAAATTATTATATATTGTATATTAGTCTATAATATTTTAAACTATTATTATATAAACAACAAATATAATAATAATTAAAAAAATATGAGTAAATTATTTATAAATTTAAATCAAGTATTGCCACCAAAACTACTTAAAACAATAGTAAATGTACTCAAATTATATATTTATTACATAAATATTATGTATTGCATAGTAAATGTACTCAAATTATGTTTTGACAAATTATGTAGCAGTTGTATGTTTTGACAGCAGTGTTAAATACATAGTAATATATGAGATTTGTATTCCCATTGAAATAACATTAACGGCATATTTAGTAATAGAAAACACAGGTTTAGTATACCCATAGAAAATACATAAGCGGCACATTTACTATTATAATTATGCCATAGAAATAACATTAGCTATACTTTAACATACAAACATATAGGTTTAGTTTGTGACACGTATAGTGTCAGTAAATGTAGTGACGCACTTGCGTTTCAGTGAATACTATTTAACCATTGGTTTAAACATTTTATATACAGGGGTTAACAAGGGTTTTTGTTTCCTATACTTTAACATTAATGAATTAATTAATTTCTAAGCGCACTTGTGTATTGTATTTTAATGCAAATGAGAATTTGCCTTTAGGTGGTAGTGTGCGACTGATCAAAAATAGGCAGAGTTTGAATTAACCAATAAGAGCAAAGTAGTAGTATATGTAAAAGTTGTCATCAAATATGAATGCAGAGTTTAACAGTTTGCGCGCGCAATAGGCAGTGGCTTATGCAGCGATCAGACTGCTGAGCTCTCAGTCGAGCGAAATGCTCGACACAAGTTGTCCTACTCCTGAACTGGTCGGTTGCCGTCACTGACTCTCCGTAATACACTATAGTGTATTCACATTGTATTAGTTTTATTTTATGTGTTATAATAAACTCGGTTTTGGTTATAAGTCCCGAGTAAGTCATTTGGGCCTTTGGCCCGTACTTTCTCTTCTCTCTCTCTCTCTCTCTTACTTTCTCTCTTCATTTCATCTACGGGCTCTCTTGCCGTGTCAGTCTCGTGTTCCCTTCCCGTGTCCAACACCATCACCTCAACACTTTGGGCGACAGCACCGCTCAGCTCATTGGCCGCCTACAGCACCGCTCAGCTCATTGGCAAATACAGCACCGCTCAGCTCATTGACCGTCGCAGCACCGCTTATTGCTCATTGGCTCATCACAACCGTCACCGCTCAACGCCAGATCAATAACGTGGTCGCAGATGTCCTCAACTACATAGGTGTTGKTGCCGACTCAACGCTAGGACCGACAACACTTTGRTGCCGATAACGTCGAGTCAGCACCGGACACCTTAAGCAACCCATCCAACCGTTTCAATTGGTGGCTGGAGTGGGATTCGCTCAACACAGTGCCGCCGCTCAACACATAGACTTAACTTTAACTGTAAGTTTTAAAACTTTTGTGATCATCTATTATCGACAACGCGACTACGCATCTTCTTTGACCAACTCATCGCGAGACTCGGACGACTACACTTATTCGTTTACCGACATCGAGGCGAAGAGATCCCAAGGAGTGGCCTTATAGTTGGCAGCTAACTTTAAACTGCCACCAAACCCAAAGACCGGTCCACGGAGAGCCAGTTGTTAGTCTGTGCTCCCGGGACCACACAAAGGTCTTTATTCCCATACCCGTCACTTACGTGACTGACACGAGACAAAGGGTTCGCTCTATTTAGAGCTTTTCGCATTAATTTGCATTTATTTTTCACCCGAATGTCTAGTGTCTGCTACCCGCCATCTCATCAATCTACAGACATCTCAAGAGAATCAACGCGACAACGAACACCAAAGTTATCTCTGTCTAGAGATAACTCATTTAAGCGCATCTTTACGCAAATTAAGCGAATTTTTAAGGACAATTAATCTCTTCCGAAAAGAGATATTACAAAGGATTGAAATTGAAAAGGAAATCCTGTTCTACGCGCAAAAGCTACGGTCCAATTTAAAAAAGATATATTATCGCCGATTTCAGACCAATAATTTCAAGGAAACGGCCAAAATTATCGGTACATTAAACACTAAACTACAGTTCGCTCGTAATAAGTATCAAAACCTTTTGGCTGATTTGATACCAAAGTGCCGACAAGTTTGGCATACCTCTGACGAACAGTGTGAGTACTGTTATCACTATTTTAGCGACGTAATCCCTGATTGCACCAAACATGTCGTCCCAAACAAATGTCAACAAATCAAACAATATGGAGTCGAATATCAGTTTATTCAACAAAACTTTCTCAATGAAATCTTTGGTAACCCCACTGATCAAACAAAACCAGACAAACCCGATTCTCAAGCAAACGTCGTACCACAGCTACCTGCCATCGATTGGCCAACAACTCCCGGAGTCGACGGAAAAAGAAAAACAATTGAAGAGCACACACAACAAGAGAATGAGGAGTCTAGCAAATGGTCAAAACAAAGAGAAAAGCATCACCGAATCAACAGATGGTTACACGGCGTCAACCGTTATTATAAAAGACATCAACAGAAGGAACATTCGGTTCGGGAAAACAAAAAGAGGCAAACGTAAACAARGTCCTCAACTATTGATTAGAAGCATACCATATTACCGATCAAATGACCCACCAAAGGATGTCATACTTGGTCTCGACATCGAGTTCGCAAAAGATAAATATAACAACAAATTATTGGCGGGTTGGGTCACTATCTGCTCATCATTGAGTTCAAGAAAGGTTCTCAATATGGGACTTAAGAGTTATGTTATMTTTCATGCATTTGTTAAACTAAATCCATTTGATGTCAACCTAATGACCAGATGGTCCGGTCTTACACGTGATATGGTTACTAATGGTGTTGAACTAAAGGACATACAAGAAAAAATTGTTTACTACTTGGATAACTACACTATCATAGGCGTCTCTATTAAAAGTGATTTACAAGTTCTCGGATTTATTGATTATCTCCACAAACCTAATATAAAAGACTTACATGATGTCTTCAAAGGATCAGGTGGTAATAATGATAAAATATCACTTAAAACAATGGCTTACGCTGTCTTCAATAAACGCATACAGGAATACACTATTCCCGTAGACAAAGGTAGACCAATACCACCCGGGCATTCACCACTACAAGACGCTCGTATGTCAGTTAAAATTTATCAACAATACATTGATGGTAAAATAAAACCTGCACTCGACAACTGTGGCAACATGTCATTTCAATGGATGAGAGACAAAGAGAGGCTAGACCCGGAAATAATGAAAATTAAACAACAATTAAAAGACAATAAAAAATCCTTCAGATCTAAATAAATTAATCGGTTAACTATACATAAAAAAAATAATACATATATCATATTGTTTACACATATATTACTATATTTTTCTATTGTTTAATTTTAGTAATTTGCTCATAACTATATTATTCAAGGGTATATTTTAATAATTTTTTATATTTTAATATTCTATACATTAATGTCTATAATTATAGATTAAAATAAAAATTGGGAACTTATGTTTTGTATTTTATTTTTAATTTTAAATTTTATAATTTCAATAAATTTTTGTTAAATGTTTTATAAAATCTATATTAAAATGCTATATTATAGTGCATACTAGGGCCAATAAAAACACATTAAATAAATTTACGGATATTAATAAACAGATATAAAAAATTCAAGGGTAAAATTAAATATTCAATGGTAAAATTAAATATTATTAATTTTATAAACTACAAATAATCTTCTATAATAATAGACTAAAACAAAAACTGGGAATTAATGTCTTGTATTTTAATTTTAAATTCAAATTTTTAAAAATTAAATAAAAATTTTGTTAATTGTTATACTAAATGACTCATAACTTTTTAAAACAAAGATAACTTCAAATATATACAAATGCTATGTTATAGTGTATACTAAGGCCTATAATAACACAATAAAAAATATTACGGATATTCACAATTAAATATAGAAATAAATTAAAAACTATTTTTATATGTTATTTTTTGCAAAATATTAGGTCTATAATAGTAATAAATTTTTAAAACAAAGGTATAATTTATAATTTGTTTTTGTTTTTATATACTACAGATAATAGT